AATCAGTCTATACCGTATATTACGAGCGAAAACAGGTCAGGATTATCTAAACTAATTCCATAAGTCGCAGATTTCGTTCCGTAGTTTGTTTTCTTTTCTTACAGGAAGCCCAAGCAAACAATCCGACAAAAGGAATAAGTCAAATGATACCCAAGTTATTTTATAGTCTTTATGCATATTTCTTAGCTCTCTTTTAAAGCGTGGAGTTACTATTAGAATGTATAATTTTCAACTATAACTTAAAAATATTCAATGGGATTTGTCTTCGAGAATCATGTCAACAAAGTATGTGTTGTTGATTTTAGGATTGTACACTATGTAATTTCGTTCTCATTAAAATTATCAAAAATACATAAATTGGGTATAAAATGTTTTGATAAATGTTCTACCGGTTTTACTTTCAAGTATTACTATGTTCTTGAAAACGTTTAGCGGAGTTTTTCAATCGTTACTGCCGCATATGAAATCAACTTGTAGATTTCAAGTTCGCAAATATGCAATTTTTTCCTAACTTTGAGTACTTCGCTTGAAGAAACAAAACATTTACACATCGATTTTCTTGCATACGTTTGATGACCAATCTAAGGTCTTACTCTGGACGAAATCCTGTGGGTTTTCTCCATATCGGTCATAACGAAAAATACGTGTGAAATAGGAGTATTTTTTACGTTATCAAAAGTGTGCATAATTTAAAAAATTGTCAAAAATCACTAGTTTCTTTTTAGGACTTTATTTTCAACCAGAGAATGGTTGAGATAATGATAAACACAACGTGTAAGTATAATCGCTAAAGGTCAAGTATTTTCGCTATACGAGGTCACACAAATCACTCTTTGTAAACAACAAAAATTTGCATATTTGACCTCTCTCACAAAAAAAATCGTATCTCGCAAACGAAAAAATATTTTTTAATAAAAACACCACAGTGATTCATCAGACATAATAAGGTACCAAATATGAAAGTTTGAGCGAAATCTAATTTTTTACACTTGCCACTGTATGTCTGGTGTTTGCTGACATCAACTCTTAATTTGTTTGAGAAGCCAGATCAAAAACTCGTGCTTCGTGTTTCATCAGGGGAATCCAAACACCTCGAAACAGATAACAGTTCCTCGGTATTTGGATCCCCTGAGCTGAAGAAACACTCGCACTCGTCTTTGATCTATTATTACATCCACCTTAATGCAAAATCACTTGAATTCAATTCCAATAATTTCGACCTGCTCAGATAAAATCAATGACGTACAAGTACCAATAGACTGCCGTCAATCCACTAAAGTGATTTTGGGAAAACAGCAGTAGATTTATTATAWCACCAGTGGTATTGTATTAGTAAGTTAACTGAGATTGTGATATTTTTCGCACCATGACACGGAATCCGATATGCGACAAATTTTGCCTCTGGCCRGTATAGATCCTGAATTAGAAGTAACTGAAAGGGAAACTGATAAACAGGAATGCAGGATCCAAAAATATTTTATATTCTAATTGCGAAAGAGTCAATGACAATATGGATGGTGGAATCCAGAATCCTTGCGATTCTTCATTGAATTCGGAATCCGATATTTTGCTACAATTTGAATGTTTTCTAAAAAATTTCATTTTATTTCAAAGAGTGAGATCGCAAAGAAATGCAGAAAAACTTTACGTTCATCGAAGTCTCATGATATCACTTATCCTGGCAAACATGGTTTACATGGCTGATGTTTTCTTYACTAAAAGGAATGAATATCGAGTAAGTACYATATATCGTCAAAAATACCCAACTTTGTATTATCGCCAGTTKCTGAAAAAGAAAAGATCTWTATTTTAAGATGGCGGTCGTCGGGGTATRATCCTAGCRTTGGCTGAAGTAATAAGCCGTTATCTWGTTRGCTTATTAAATTGACGACCGCCATCTTAAAAATGAGTCGACTGAGAGGACCCTGAGGGCAAGTTTTTGTTTTTATAGTGTAAWGTCCATACCAATTATGTTTGCTCCTCATACGCTTCGGTCTTGACCTGTACCACGACGAGACATAAAGCGACACATAAGAAGTAACACATCCACTCTACAGGACTGCTGATTCGAGTAGTTAAAAAGCTCTATTAGCGTTATTAATACCGGGTTTACGTTTGCGCTGATGAGCATTTGCAAAATTTGTTCCAGCAAGTTTAAGGACCATTGTAATGATCAATATTTCTATGTCTTACCACATGTAGATTCTTTGTACTGTGTTAGTAGTAGTACAGCACTACTTTCACACAGCTGTCTTCTCATGGATGCTGTGTGAGGGACTTCACCTGTATTTCATGCTTGTCAAAGTCCTTGTTGTAACAAAGCTATATTTGATACATTCTATCATTGGATGGGGTAGGTGGTTATTAATTTTCTCATTACTTATTCTCAAAAATGGATATACCAATTAATTTTACTTGCATTTCTGTATATATATAAATATAATTAGTATAAATTGAAGAAAACGCCACACAACATRTAACCTGATTACTATTTGTAACCCGATTACTACTCTTTATTGAACGTTTCGGGCATTCGCCCTTCTTCAGCARTGTAATATATATAAGTACATAAGGTTTTATGTCGAAAAGGGATTTTAGCAACCATTTTCAATCGGTTTCAACAAGAACAGAAATAAAGTCCTTACTGAAATTCAAAACGCAATTCCCGACTTTTAATTTAATTCAGATAAATTCAAATTCAGAATGCAAATTAATGTTTCAKGCATATCTTAARCGCTTTATAAAAAAACTAACTCATATAAGCAAACCCGTTACAGGACTTCCAGTGGTCGTTCTCGTTTTCACGGCTGCCATTCAACCATCTACCTACAACATGAGTACGAAACACGAGGTCTACCAATGTGGTACTCAGGAGATTGAAATCATCGTGGAACGAAACTTGTAAGTAATCAGTTAAAACAACCACAGASGACAGCTTAAAGATGAAGATTTATTTTTTGTAAAAGAAAATAACTTGCTTTTATCATTTTAACTTGTGATAAAAAGCTGCGACGCATAAGGAAACGTGAAAATTTCATGATTATTATTAAACATATCTTTTCAGCTGTTGGCTGAATGGTGGTTTCTGGATCTACAATGGACCAATACTCGGCATTTTATTGGTAATGCTTTGAAATCGCTATAATGCTTTGAAACTATACTTTTTTCATGTTCCTGTTAATTTGTGAATTTTTGAATTGGTTATAGCTAATAACCATAACCCTTCCTTGCAGCCCGAGTGCTGAATTACGAAGGACGCAGACCACGTGATCGAGTCGGTTATGCGGTATACGAGGGCGCTATCATTATGAGGACAATCACGTAGTTACAACACACACACTCGGAGRAAAAAACCTCGAAGCAATGGAGAGAACGGAAACAAACTCAAGACACATATGATCCCAAGTCAGATTCGATCCCAGGACCACAGCGGTGACAGGCCGCTTACTTCCCTGTAGCAAAAGTTCTTTTATGTTATACTAAGTTATCAGGTTTTCACTTTCTATAATTAAAAAATTCAAATCAAAACGGAAATTTTTTTATACATATTTCCAGAAAAGACAAAAATTCAGTATTCGTCTGCAAGTGCAAATTTCTAGTAGAGCTATCATATTGTCAACACTTCTTCGTGCTTTATTTCGGTACGTTCTCTGCACAAGTGAGTCTCTTGTCTACTAATTCAGTTGTCTCGCGAATTGAACAGGAAAAAGGCTTATTCCGGAATAAAGTTATCTAATAATATATGATTTAACACTTTTCCTTTTTATTTCAAGGTAAACTTTGCACTATTTTTGGTGTTCTTGAATATTGCATACGGAAAGCTGTCTCAACGATTTGCTGACAATAAACTGAAGAAAGCAAGGTACGTTATATTTAGTAACTGCATACTTTTAATCAGAGAAAATTGCATTTTGATTCAAGACAAGAATTACAATGTAGAAAATAACCACAATCTTATTAACTTCACTAATTAGGACCGATCGCAGTGTGTGCGTAAACCTATTTCACACTATTTAGATAGTGACGATAGAGAAACACGCGCATTCCTCGAGTTTATTTGTGTAGTTTGAAATCGTTTGAATATTTCAAAAACGCAAAAGTCTTGATACTTTACAATCGGTTATTATTTTGTTTCTAATCTTTTTATGGAAATAGCTTCTTTTTTTTTTCTAAGAAAATGCATCAAGTGCGTTGCCGCTCTTCTCCCTCTGCTGGGTTTGGTGTGGCTTTTCGGGTACACAGTAAACTTACACTGGATTCTTGCTTACATCTTCATCATCATCAACTCTTCACAGGTAGGTTGAAGTTATCAGTTGTAAGAAGTATGATGAATTCAATAAACATATAATGTGAGAGATATTTCCATTGCTGTBCAATTATTGTTGACATATTTTTATTCTTTTCAATCAGGGAATCATGATCGCAATATTTCATTGTTTGCTAGACGATAAGGTAAAAAGTAAATGAGTATTGGCTTCTCTCTCTTTTTTAATGCAAATATTGGAGGGATGGATCGGGGAGTTGCGAGGAGACATGAGCCTGGAGCCAAGTGGAGCAATGGGAGAGTAGGCACGACGGCATTGAMGGACAGGGTATGAAAGCATTGCTGTGCGSCATTACATCTAAAAAGGTCCGATTCTCCATGTAAAATATCAATTTAACAGCAATTTATTCTTTCTTTATTCAAAAAATTTAAATTAAAGTGCGTTACATACTAATATCCCAATCTAATTTGAAAATRTTAGTGGTCAAGGATGCTAGATGAATAAAGTTCGGTTTTGAATTCAATGATGTCTCCTCGCAACTGGACGTGATTCTTCGTTCCTGCTCTCCTACCATAATTTTAATATGATCAACGCTATACTAGTTTTACCGCGCACGTGAGTATGAATATATTAAGAGGTTATTAACCGAGCGCGAGGTCTGTACGGGAAATTATCAGACCGAGGTCTTGCCAGTACATAAGAGACCGAGGTCCGATATTTTCCCGTACAGGACAAGCAAGCGAGGTTAATACATCGTTTATTATATGTCTTTTACATCGTAGATTTTGTAGTAGAATTACTCAAAATATATAGGAAAAGTCTCACTGGTCAACTTGCCGCCCGTCGCCTCCCTCTATCTGAAAGCACCGCTTTTCTCAAATATCTTATCTCACGATATGAGTAAGTGATGTCCCTCAACATAGAATTACAATTTTCTTTCTTTTCCATCAACCRAGGAGCTATTGCATCGAGAAATTGGCCAAGTAAACTTGATAGACGAGGATTATGCACCGCGAAGTGCTTGAAAGTCTGTTTTCAGCTGTTTTCGTTGAGAAAGCTTGGCTTTTGAACGAGGTCACATTGATTCAAAATTTTTTGGTGTTTTCAGTTTCTACATCTCAAAAATCATCGAAGTGGATGTCTCTCAATATAGAATTACAATTTAAATTTTTCTTTTCTTTTCCAGAAACCGAGGAATCATTGAATCGAGCAAAGTAGACTTTATAAGAGGAGGATTTCATTCTGGCGAAGACGTCACCGGTTTGAATCCCTTCGGCTTTTCACTTTTGTTTTGAGTAGTTTGTGGACTTATGTTCTGGCTACTTTTGAGCTTTTACAACTTGACATTGAGTTTTTCTTCCAATAAAATCCTTTTTGGGCTATCTTTAAATTGTGGTGAATATTTATCGAGTATTTCTAAGCTGGATTGATGCCGTTTGCATTGAAAACAACTTTACGGTCAACTCGGAAAAGAGCGGCGGGAAAGTCAAGTGCTATAAGACGCGAGCGCAGACAAAAAGGCTGGAGTAGTTGAAATTTAACCATCTTTCTTTCAGATCATCAAAAAAATGGATTTTGTTTGAATTTTTTTTATTGCAAAGAAATTCTTGATTCCCTCGGTCCAACTTACGGAAAATATGGAAGTGGGACTGATACCATAGCAACGGTCCAATACGCCTCTGGACGGACCGCGCGTCAGCCAATCAGAATTCAGGAAATTTACAAGCCATATAATAAAGAGATTTATCTGTGCTTTAAATGTGGACATTATTKATATATAATAAAATATTGTCCATCTCCAATGAAATAGCTAATCTGCTTTCTTGTCTTTCTATTGATAGTATTTATATATATTTGTCTCTAATTAGGTGAAAGCAACCTTGAAGTCAAACCATAAAGGGAGAAAGTGTATCAAAAACGAAGAGATGGTGGTGCAAGGTTAGAATGATTAATCGCACGATTTTTGTGATCCTCAATGAAAAGCCCAATCATGAGAATTTGAAGAACTAGAATCCTTATTTAAAAAAATAAAATMTAAAAGATCTTGAGATTGCTTTGTTATTGAATTCGCTTCAATAATATGCTGTTTGCCTCAAAAACGAAAAATATAACCATGACCATAATAGAGAAGGCTAGTTTCAC